GGCTAGAGGCATCCAACTGAAGCCTTTAACAGGGTTCCTGGAGATCTCGTTAGCCAGATCTGAAATCATTCGGTATTTTTTTCTGTTTTCCAAGTTGAGTACAGGCGACAGTGTTGCTAGCACGTAAAAGGCATGGCCTCTCTCAGGCTGCCCTAGTGGTTTCCTTAACCGCTTTTCTAGCCCCCACTAACAGTTTGTCTACTACTTTTCCCACTGGTGCTGATAACCTCCACTGTTCCTGTTCCCACAGCTAATGCCACGTGTTTTGGGTAATTGTGATGGCACTTCATTTCTGTCTACCAGTTCGGCTTAAAACACAATCATTTATTCGTTCACAATTCTGTGGGTCAGCAGTTAGGCTTGGCACAGCAGAGTGGTTCTTCTCTTGATTTACCAGGGCTCATTCATGTGGCTGTAGTCCGCTGGCTGCTCAGCTGGAGCTGGATGGCCTTACATATCTGGTGGTTGACAGGCTGGTTGGCTCTGAGGTACCTCAGTTCTTAGTTCTCTGTGTGGCCTCGTCAGCAGGCAAGCTCAATTTATTTACACGGCAGCCTCAAGGTTGACTGCACAGAAAGAAACAAGGCCAGCCCCAAACCCAAATGCCTTCCAAACCTTTGCTTGCATCATGTTTGCCGATGTCCCGTCGGCTAAAGTATGTCCCATGGCCAAGCCTAGCATTAGTATAGGAGGAAAATGCATAAAGGGTAGAAAAAGAGAAGCATGATTCATGGCGTAGGGGGTGGGGGATTGCTACAAGATAGGATACCTTTTGGCTGCAAGCAACAGGAAACCCCACTTGGGCTGTTCTAAACAATAACTGAGCCCACATGAAAGAAAGTCCAGAGCCAGGATACACTATGGGGTTGGTCCTCTCCCTTCATAAGCTTATCAAGGACTGGGGTTCTTTGATTCCTCCACTTGACGCTGTTGACAGTGTCAGCCTCATCAGGCTAGTTCCCCTCACAGCTGTAGGATGTTGATTTTTAGCAACTTTAAGTCTCACAACAACCCTAAAAGGTAAGTCATATTATAATACCCATTTTTAGAAAATTGAGACACAGAAATGTCAAGTTACTGATGCCAAGTTGTGGGAGAAGGAGGGCTCTTATTTGAACACAGTCTGTCTCCAGAGTGTGCTTTTAGCCCCTGAGCATTTCTCAGACTTTTCTGTCAATCAGAATCACTGAGAAGCCTTGTTAAAACAGATTGCTGGGCCCCGCATGCTGATTCAGTGGTTCTGGGCTAGGGCCTGAGAATTTGTATTTCTAACAAGTTCCTAAGGGATGCTCTTGCTGTAGGTTCAGGGACCACACTTAAAGCCAGTGCACTGAACTCTGCTGCCTCTTTTGGGTCATTTGTGCCCATGTTTATGAGCTTTAGGCCAAGTATTGGTTCCACATTACCCCATCTTAAAAATGTAGAAGTCTTCTGCTAGGATCCAGCAGCAGGCTACTGTGTCTTGTCGGTTCTCATCAGCCACCAATCCATTCTTCAGCTGACAAAGGGATAGGTTACTTTTTTGCCAGTCACGCCTCCCCTTGAGTTGGATTTAGTGCCCCCAGCTGCTAGCTGAGTTGCTCCTCAGTGAGAGAGGTTTGGAATGGGTCATAGAGAGTCATCCATTTAGTGTTTCCATACCCCCCTACATGTGTGGCTCTCAGACAAAGAAACCATGAATTTTTCCAGGTCTGTAGGAATACCAGTTGTGTTAAACTTGTTGAAAGAACGTAGGTTGGTCTGCAGTGTAGCTTCTTTGTCAGAGATTTTCTAGGTATTTGTGCGTGTGTGTTTGTGTGTGTGTTCATTCTAAGAAGGGGTTTTAAAAATCAAATCACCACAGGGGCTAGGCAGATATCTGAATGAATGAATAGTCTTTTCAATATTTAATTATGAAAAGTTTCAAATCTACAGAAAAAAATACACCTTAACATTGACTCACATACCCACCACCTAGATTTAACAATGAATATTTTGCTACACGTGCGTTACCACCTATCTATCCACGTGTACACTCATCTACCCATCATGTACACTCATGTGTACTCATCGAGGGTATTACTCATATATTACTTTCAATGCACAGTAGAGGATAGGATTTTATATTCCTTTGGCCTTTCGAACCCTCTGTAGTCTGCTATGACCGGCCTGCTCTCTTTTCCAGCCAGCCACTTTTCATTCCTTATTCCCTGCCATCCCAGATGTCTTACCTGGAGGGCCCACCCCTGTTATTTCTCCTTAATCCTTCAAAATCCTGCCTGCCCTTTACGACCAAGATCATACCTTCCTCTCATAAAACCTGCTGTGATCTCTCTATCCTACAGTGACCTCTCCCTCTTGAGATTCCTCTGACCTACTGATTTTAAATCATGACTATACTTAGGAGCCTTTAAAAGTATAAAGGCCCTATCTCCAGAGAGTCTGATTTTATCCATTTGTGGAGAGACCCAGGAGTCCATACTTTAAAACACCACAGTTAGTTCTAAAGTACAGCTAGAGATGAGGGGTAAGAACCATAGTTTTCACTCATCCTGGCTGTGCTTTATATTTAATTAATTACTTCGATGGAGGGCTGGCTTCTGGGATTGCTATTACCAAAGGTGGGGGGGGCAGGGGGGTCCTGTTTTAAGGCCATTCCACAGCCAGTGCGGAACAGTTGTGCTGATAGGGAACAGGAAATTTAGAGGAGCATCCCCTGAGAGGGCACGGCATAGAATTAGTTTGGGAGACACAGTGTCATCCCTTAAGGGGGATGGTGTTCTGAGAAGGGATGCAAAGTCAAATCACCAAAGGGACCAAGCAGGGAGCTAAATGAAACAAGGTAGGAGTTGCAGCAATCTGCCAATAATATGGGTAGGCTAATGGACCCCTAGTGTGGGTCACCTTCAGCCATCTGTGGCCCTGCAGCAATGCAAAGCCCAGAGTGGTCAGATTTATGGATTTTTCAACAGGACTCATGAGTTGATATTTTCATGTGGAATCATCCAACATATAAGTGATATAAAGAAAATGTTGTGTATGGCTCAAACTGACCCTATCTATGGACTGCAGAATGTGTGCTCTTTTAAAATCTTAAAAAAAAAAAAAAAAGGTTATTTATTTTAGAGAGAGGGAGAGGGAGAATGTGCAAGGGGAGGAGGGGCAGAGGGAGAGAGAGAGAGTCCCAAGTAGACTCCCCGCCAAGCACAGAACCTGATGTAGGGCTTGACGTGGGGCCTGATCTCACAACCCTGAGATCATGACCTGAGCCAAAACCAAGAGCTGGACACTCAACTGATTGAGCCACCCAGGCGCCCCAGATTATGTTCTCTTTTAAAAGACAAAAATACTGATGGGCTAGGAAGAATCCCCGAACTGGATCCCTAGGCTCCTTGGGGCTTGGTTTCTGCACACCTCCACACCAAGACACCTCACCAAAACCTTCATCCAAGGACCATTTTATATTCCCATTCTCCAAAGTATAGCTTTCGAGGTAGCAGAAGGGCATTTGAAACTTTGTTAGGGGAATAATAATAATAGTAAGTGCACATTCAGTCATCTAAAAATATTTGACTGCTTAGTGTTTGCAGGCTCTGCTTTGTGCACCAGGGCAATAGCAGTGAACAATGCATATAGAACTTTCAGCCTAGTAGGCAGTCAGAAAATAAAAATGAGTAACGCATTATCTAGAATTAAGGGGGTACATTAAAGCAGCAGAGGGGAAAAAGAACCTGAGTGAAAAGAAAGAATTCTAGAACAGCTAGGGAAGTCCTCCCTGAGCACTTATTGTGTGCAACAGTCCTTTGTCTTGAATCCTTACGTTTACCAACTTCTCTGATCCTCAGCACAGTCCTGTGAGATAAACGCTGTTTTCTTGGTTCACAGAAGAAACAGAAATGCTGAGAGTTAGCTAATTTGCCGAAGGGTACTCTAGTTGGGGACAGTGTGATTTGAGTCCATAGTCTTTCCAACCACACACTTGCACTCTTCAGGCAGGATCGCGGCAGCTAGAGTGTGCGCAGGGGGAGGAATGGGTCCTGCTACAAAGTATACATATTGGTGGGTACTTACCCCCCAGAGACTCAGCGGCTTCAAGTAGGTAGAGCATAAATGCTTAGACCAAGTAGTCTCTGATATTCTTCAAGCTCAGTAAGACGATTTTTTTTTACTGTTTAACTTCATGTGTGTGATGTCTTCCTCTTCTCCGTGCCTAGATTTAAAGCTTCCAATGTGAAGGGACTTGTGTTTTGCTTTCATCCCTGGTAGCAGCTAGCCTAGAATGTTGACAGTAATAGGTGCATAAATGATGCTGGCTGGATAAAGGAGAATAATGGTCTTTGAATCCTTGGCACTAAGGTCATGTAGGGGAAGAAAAAAAATTCATTTTTCCTCTACCTATTTTGGGTTCATTGGCTGGGGCCTTATAAATTAGACCAACAAAAGACAGAAAAGCAAACAAGTTTATTAACACAGATACACATGGGAGCACTCAGTGATGAATAACTCAAAGGGGTGGTTAGAACTTGGGCTCATACAGCATCTTAACAAAAGGACAATAACTTTTTAGGGAAGTGACAAGACAAAGGAAAAACGTTTTGAGTTTTGAGGACAGCAAATTGTGGTGGAAGATAAGGGGTAGTGAGTAAGGTTAGTTGTGTGAATTCGTTTGGTGCCATCTCCTGGCTGATAAGGGTCTAGAGTTGTTTCCAGAGATTGACTTCTGTTCTTCCCGGTAGAATCGGGAGGGGAGATACTTTCACAAATTTATGTTCTGCTCTTAGGCAGATGGGGGGAGAGCAGAGAACTTTTCTTGTGTCTGCTTCTTCTCAATGCCTTCAGCCCAAAATAATCCCTATGCCAAAATGGCATAAATTGGAGTGGCATATTCTGCTACCCTTCATTCACAATCCAAAGTAGGGTTTAGAAATATCTACCTCCCACAGGGAAGGCTTTTGATTGCTTATCCTGAGCTGCGAGCAAGGCGCACTCCCAGATGAACAGTGGTGTGTTTTGTGTTAAAGGCATTCGTGGCATTCAGGGATGTGGCTGTGGACTTCACCCAGGAGGAGTGGAGGTTGCTGAGCCCAGCCCAGAGGACCCTGCACAGGGAAGTGATGCTGGAGACCTACAATCACCTGGTCTCACTAGGTAAGGATGGTTTCCCTTAGCACTTAAAATCTGCCCCACAGAGTGTTTTCTACATATCACGAGGAAAGGCTACCCATGAAGCTGCTTTGTCCTAGGGTTGGGCTTAGAAACCATAATCATCCCCTCCCTCAGGGGAAATCTGGATTTAGTGGAATTGAAAACAGGTAGATTTACTCATGTTGCCTTTAACATTGCATTTCCATGCTCTTTCTCAAGGCTGGGGCTCTCTTTTTGCTTTATCTTGTTTGAAACCTAGGTGATTTTCCTTCACCAAGTGTTAATATGCTGTTTTCCTGACTGGAGTCACCTTTACTTACTCAGCTCTTCTGAGGAGAGTTCACAATTATAGGTCCTGTATCGCCCTTTGGGTTTCCCTACGCATTTTGGCTCTGAGTTAAGAAATGGCCCCTTGAGCCCATAACCAAGAATCTCCTTGTTGTTGTTGTTGTTGTTGTTTTTCCCCATGAGCAGAAATTCCATTTTCCAAACCAAAACTCATTTCTCAGCTGGAGCAAGGGGAAGAGCCCTGGATAGAGGAGAGACAGCATCCACTGGGCCTCTGTCCAGGTGAGTGTGACGCAGGGTAGATGGGACCGTCCACAGCTTGGAAGATAGGGAAGGAGGAGGCATCCCTCAGGTACGGGGAAGAAGCTCTTCTCAGGTCTCCTAGGTCACTGGTAAGTTTGCCTGGCATGACCTCCCTTCCAGAATATCATTTTCAGTTGGGGTGGGGGCTTTCTTGGTTTCCTTGTTTCTTTCCTCCACCAGGAAGCCTCCCTTCCTTTTACTTGGCTTGCCTTCTTCATCATGTTCAGTCTTTCCTCATTCATGGGCTTCTTTCTCTTCTCTTGATCTTAAAAACTACGTCTGTCCTATGGACATTAAGTCTGCCACCCTTCAGATACTTTCTCGTTTCCCGTAGGTGAGATGTAATTGATTAATTCTACCTTTCCATTTCCCATAACTTAAAAAATATGTTACTCAGTAATTAAGATTACAGCAAGCTATGAATAATAAAAAAATATGTCCTCATGAGCCAACACCCCAGCTTAAGAAATAAGGCATTACCTAAACAATTGAAGTTCCTATTTCCCCTACCTCCCCACACCATGCCCAAAGGGAACTGTTTTTTCAAAATTAGGGATTTATAAATCTTATGCATGGCCTTTTGCTTTACTTCATATATGTGAATCCCTCAACCATCTACAGTATTGTTTGACATTTTTAAACTTTCATTAATGTCATCATATTATGTATATCCTCCCGTAGTTTGCTCTCTCCACTGACACTGAGTTTGTAAGATTAACCCATGTTGATATATGTTGTTCTGGTTCATTCATTTTCACTACTATATAGTATTTATTGTATTATATGCGTAATTACAATTCATTTATCCATTTTATTTTGTTGGACGTCTATGTTTTTACCAATTTTGGCTATTAAAGAATGCACTATAGGGGCGCCTGGGTGGCTTGGTTGGTTAAGCGTCTGCCTTCGGCTCAGGTCATGATCCCAGGGTCCTGGGATCAAGCCCCGCGCCAGGCTCCCTGCTCAGCAGGGAGTCTGCTTCTTGCTCTCCCTCTGCCCCTTCCCCTGCTCGTGTGCACTCTCTCTCTCTGAAATAAATAAAATCTTAAAAAAATTATAACTATAAACATTCTAATACATGTGTCCTTGGGCATATAAGCCCTTGTTTCTCTAAGATAGATGCGTAGGAGTAGAGTAGCTGAATCAAAGAGCGTGCACTTGTTCATCCTGCCTGGGTAATGCCAAATTGCTCTCAACAGTTGTTTCATTAGTTTGCAAGGCTGCCATAGCAAAGAGTTATGTTTCTAACCATCCTTTGGGTATGAAATGGCTTCTCACACTAGTTTTAATGTAATCAGCATTGAGTTTGAGCATCTTTTCCTATGTTCCTAGGTTGATTAGCATTGATGTTTCCTCTTCTGCAAATTTCCTCTTCAGATCTCTAGCCTGCTTTTCTTTTTCTTGTTCATTTGTAGAAGTATTTAAATAAATCCTGGAAATGATTCCTTTGTCCATTAAATGTGTTATGTCTATCTTCTTCCAATCTGTGGACTGCCTGCCTGCTTTATAAAAAGCTGTTTAGGGGTGCCTGGGTGGCTCAGGTGGCTAAGTGTCTGCCTTTGGCTCAGGTCATGATCTCAGGGTCCTGGGATTGAGCCCCATGTTGGGCTCCCTGCTCAGCGGGGAGCCTGCTTCTCCCCCACCTCCCCACTCTGCTCTCTCTTGCTATCTCTGTCACTATCTCTCAAATAAATAAAATCTTTTAAAAAATAAATAAAAAGTTGTTTAATTTTGAAATAATTTAAGTCTCAGTTTGTAAAAATAATACAGCAAGTTCCCATCTATTCTTTACCCAGCTTTCTCCAATTTCAAAACCAGGAAGTTGACATTGGTACAATACTATTATATCTACAGACCTTAATCAGATTCAGATTTCATCGGTTTTTACATGTACTCTTTTGTGGTTGTTGTTGCATAGTACTGTGAAATTTTGTCACTTACATGGATTGATGTAAGTGCCGCCACAGTAAGGATACAGAACGTTCCACCACTAGAAAGAAACTCCTTCATGCTGCCCTCCACCTTTAACCTCTGGCAACCTCTGATCTGTTTCCCATTACTTTCATTTCAAGAGTGTTGTGAAATTTACCCCATGTTTTAATGGCCTTTAATAATAATTTCATAAATTTTAATGTGTTTGGATTTGTCAGATTTTTTGTGTTGTCTGTATGTGTGTCTGTCTGATTTAAGAATTCCTTCCCTCTGTCAAGATCATAAAGACATTATTTAGATTTTCTTCTTTAAATCAAAAAATATTTTTGCTTTTTACAGCTTAGGTCTTTAATCTGTCTGGAATTGATTTTGTGTGTGTTGAGAGATGTGGGTCTATTTTTATAGATTTCTAAACACGTCACCATCAGACTGGGCCCCATTGAATAATACATCATTTTCTCCAATTTTTAATGCCACCTCTCGTATTTTGAATTTCAGTATATGCCTGGATCAATGTCTGAACTCTTTTTTATTCCATTGCCGTATCTGCTTATGCCTGCACCAATATCACACTGTTTTAATTTCCTATAGCTTTATAATAAGTCTTAGTGTCTGGTAGGGTAAGTCTTCTTGTCTTATTCTGTCTCTGTAGCTTCAGCCCAGTGGGCTTTTATTATCAGCTTGTCAGATTTCATAAAGTCTCCTGTCAGGATTTTGTTGTAGTTGCATTGAATTTATATATTCAATAATATACATATATTAATATATTCATTAATTTAGAGAGAATTGACATCTTTTAGAATATTAAGTCTTTCTCTTACTGTGGTGTCTTCTTTTACTTATTTATTAATATAGCCTTATCACTACCTCTTGCAAGGTTTTATAATTTATAATGTAAATATACATCTTTCTTTAAATTTATACATAGGCTTATTTTTTTGTTGTTTTGAGAGTTACTTTTTTTTGAGAGTTAACGTTTTTAAAAACTAAATTTTTATAATTTTTTGTTTAAATGTAGAACTAAAATTCATTTGATCATAATGAGCATATACCAGCAGCCTTGCTGAGTGGTTTAATTAATTCCATAATTTGTCCTGTGTATATTCTTTGGAGTTTCATATAAAGACAACTGTTTCATCTGTTTATTTTGCCTTTTTTTGTTTGTTCATCATGTCTATTGTATGTATTATGTTTGAACTTCTATTTAATATTTTCTTTCTATTCTTACTTTGGGGTTATTTTCCTATTTTTTCCCCAGGTTTTTAAGATGGATGCTTAACATTGTTACTTTTCAGGTTTCTTTCTTTTCTAATATAAGGATTTGAGACTGTACATTTCCTTCTATTCTCTCTTTTTTTTTTTAAGATTTTATTTTTAAGTAATCTCCACACCCAACATGGGGCTCGAACTTACAACCCCAGGACTAAGAGTCATGTGCTCCACCGACTGAGCCAGCCAGGCGCCCCATTTCCTTCTATTCTTAACATGTATTTGGAGCTTCTGTTCCATCTCTGAATCCTAACCCGTGGCACCTTGAGCCCATAAGGCTGTGGTATTTCTCCATTGCTGTAGTTGTGTGTGTTGGGAGTGCTTTGTAGCAAGAAAATTCTTACCCCTCCCTTTTTATTGCAGTTTTTTTAGTGTGAACCCTTTACTCCAGCCAGCTTCTAGTCACTTCTGGGTGTTTTCCAGTGACTTGAAGTAATTATTTATTTTATTTTTTTCCAGTTTTATCATTGTTTTCTGCAGGGGTTCTTGTGACTAATTCAGTCTGCTGCCATTTTCAGAAGTTGGCTTCATCCTGTATGTTTTTGACTTGACATTTGGAAATTACTTCAAAATTACAGAAAATTTGCAAAAATAAAAATAGTACAAAGGACATCTTTATATCCTTTTCATACACATGTATGTGGAAAAATATATGGCATATATGTTATTATAAAATGCCATCAGGGGCACCTGGTTGGCTCAGTCGGTAAAGCATGCAACTCTTTTTTTTTAATTTTTTTTTTAATTTATTTATTTGACACACAGAGAGAGACAGCTAGAGAGGGAACACAAGCAGGGGGAGTGGGAGAGGGAGAAGCAGGCTCCTGGCTGAGCAGGGAGCCCGATGTGGGGCTTGATCCCAGGACCCTGGGATCATGACCTGAACCGAAGGCAGACGCTTAACGACTGAGCCACCCAGGTGCCCCAAAGCATGCAACTCTTGATCTTGGGGTTGTGAGTTCGAGCCCCATGTTGGGTGTACTGATTACATAAAAATAAAATCTTTAGGGGTGCCTGGGTGGCTCAGTCATTAACTGTCTGCCTTCGGCTCAGGTAATGATTCCAGGGTCCTGGGATCAAGCCCTGCATGGGGCTCCCTGCTCAGCGGGAAGCCTGCTTCTCCCTCTCCCACTCCCCCTGCTTGTGTTCCCTCTCTTGCTGTGTCTCTTCTGTCAAATAAATAAATAAAATCTTAAAAAAAAAGAAAAATCATTAAAAAAAGTAAAATGGCATCATAACATCACCTATTAATATTTTATATTTGTGTACTATCTTATATGCATGTTCTCCTTTCTCCTTCCCCCTTCAATATATATGTATATATATTTATGTATACATATATATCTGTGTGTGTATGTTCATATGTGTATGTTTGTTAAAAGGTTTTCTAAGGAGGATAGTAATCTCATATAACCATAGTAGTTATCAACGTCAGTAAATTTAACTTTGATACAGTAATTTTTATCTCATATCTACTTATCGTATTATAATTTTGTCAGTAGACGCAATAATATCTTTTTTTACTCTCCAGAAAACGATCCAGTCCAGGTTTCAGTAGTGCATTTACATGTCAGGTCTATTTAATTTCCCTTAATATAGATCATTTCAGTAAACTTTCTTTGTCTTTTATGACACTGACATCTTAGAAATATAGTCTTACAGTTTTTTAACAACTTCATTGAGGTAAAATTTATATACCATAAAATCTAGTTATTGTAAGTATACAGTTACATTAGTTTTGGTAAACATTTATTGTATGATCATTACTTCCATTTAAC